GCTCTTCAGCTCAAGACTAGTGCTCTACCACTTGAGCCACAGCGCCACTTCCAGCTTTTTCTGCTTATGTGGTGCTGAGGAATCGAACTCAGGGCCTCATGCATGCAAGGCAAGCACTCTACCACTGAGCCACCTTCCCAGCCCCCTATTGTTTTCTTTAATGCAACTCCCCACTGCAAAATGACAACACAATATTTGTTTTGTCATTAAAAGAAATTGAAAGGCTGGCCTCTGGTGGCTCACGCCTGTAATCCTAGCCTGCTACTCAGGAGGCTGAGATCTGAGGATCGCAGTTCAAAGCCAGCTCAGGCAGGAAAGTCTATGAGACTCTTTATCTCCAATACGCCACTAAAAAAGCTGGAAGTAGAGCCATGGCTCAAGTGGTTGAGCACTAGTCTTGAGCAAGAATAAGCACAGAGACAGTTCACAGGCCCTGAGTTCAAGTCCCCAGGACCAGCACGCCCCCCCCCCCATAAAAAAGAATAGATTTAATTAAATTCGGGTATTGATTTGGGACCTGTGTGGCCCTCTGTATGCTTCTTGCGTTTTCAAACAGCCTGTAGCAGACATGCTCCGGAACAAATGCACTTTGACCCTGGTTAAGACTGTAGGAATGTCTGAGGGGCTTTGGGACACTCAGGCACACCTGCTAAGGATCTGGCACGTCTCCTCGTGCACGTCACCGCTCTGAGGCTGAGTAAGAGGTGGAACAGGTCAGGGCACAGAAGTGGAATGACCTGGAAGAATCCAGGAATCCAACAATTCCTTCTTTCTCTAAGTGGGTAGGAACATTGATGATAAAGATAAGTACGGGCCCTGGTGGCTCACCTCTGTCATCCCAGCTACTCAGGAGGCTGAGATCTGAGGATTGAGGTTTGAAGTCAGCTCGGCAGGAAAGTTCGAGAGACTCCCGTCTCCAGTTAACCGCCAAAAAAACTGGAAGTAGAGCTGTGGCTCATCAGCCTTGGGGGGAAAAACTAAGCAAAAGCACAAGTAGCTGAACACCCTCCCACCCCCCCTCCCCCAAGAAAAAAACAAAAGGAAAGCAAAAGCAAAAGCCATGGGCTCTTCAGGGGCTAATCTCTGCAGCAGGCCACCATGATCACCTCCTGCTCATACCAGCCAGTTCTCAGAGGGGCAGACGGGAGGCTGCCAAGCATGGCTGCTGTCTTGCAGGGCTGGGGCTAAGAGCATGTGCTCAGCACATGCAAGGCACTGGATTCAGTCTCCAGAGCAACAGAAAAGCAGTCGATCCATCAATCATTCAATCAATCCATCAGCTGTCCACTTGGCTATCGAGCGATGTTCTTTCTTCTGTATGCCTTATTTCTGTGCCTCACCTCGCAGACCTGTGGGGAAATGGGACATGTGCTGTGGTGCAGGACATTGGTGCAGGGTGGCTATATGATATAAAATGTGTGTGTGCATATCTATGTGTGCATGTGTGTATACATACTTAGCCATGCACTGCTGGCTAAAGATGAAAGATGATGGAATTCTTTTTGTTGTTGTTGTTGTTGTTGATTATGGGACCTGAACTCTGAGCCTGGGCCCTGTCCCTGAGCTCTTCAGCTCAAGGCTAGCGCTCTACCACTTGAGCCACAGCGCCACTTCCAGCTTTTTCTGCTTATGGGGTGCAGAGGAATCAAACCCAGGGCCTCATTCATGCAAAGCAAGCACTCTACCACTGAGCCACCTTCCCAGCCCAGATGATGGAATTCTTAGGACCTTTAAAATCTGTTTGTTCTATCAGTTTGTTTTTTTAAATTCAGGGCCTAGGCACTGTCCCAGAGCTTTTTTTGCTCAAGGCTAGTGCTCTATCACATAGAGCATTAGCTCCACTTCTGATTTTCTGGTGTTTAATTAGAAATAAAAGTCTCGCAGACTTTTCTACCTGAGCTGGTTTCAAGTGCAAACCTCAGATATCAGCCTCCTGATTACAGGTTTGAGCCACCAGTGCCTGGATAAATGGCATCACTTTTGAAAAATAACAGCAGTAGCTGAGCACTGTGGCTCAAGCTTGTAATCCAAGCTATTTGGAGGTGGCAGTTGGGGGCATTAAGGTTCGTAGCCAACAAGCCTTTTGTTCATCTCAGAAATAAAAATTCACGAGACTCCATCTCAGTCAGTGGCTGGGCAGGGTGGTACAAGTCTGTCATCCCAGCTGCAAAGGAAAGTACAGATAGGAGGATCACAGTCTAGACTAGTTGAGGCATAAAGAGAGTCCTTATCTTGAAAATAACACAAAAAGGTACTTGTGGAGTAACTCAAGTGGTAGAATGTCTGCTCAGCAAGCACGAGACCCTTGAGTTCAAAATCCCAATACCCCCCAGATTCATAAGTAAAGCTCAGGAGCAGCAGCATGGCTGCTTCTGCTGATGGTCTGGCAGGGTTGTGTTGGGATTGCGGCAGAGCTGCGGTGTGGGGCAGCCAGGCACCGTGAGGATGCCATGGGGTGCCGTTCCCCCCCCCACTTTCCCAGTTAACTCGCTCACCCTCTGCAGTCCTGGTGCCCTGAGTCCCCAGGCCAGGGAGCAGCAAGCAAAGGCCTGGTGTGCATCCAGCCTAATCTAGTTCATGAGCTGTGACACCCTCCAGCAAGCTCAGCACCCCCTTTGGGGGTTGGGGCATGATCAGTGTCCCGGGGAAGATCCTTCTTCGTCTCTGTTGGCAGAGACTTCATGGCCATCGCCTGTTCAAATCCAAGAGTTCAAATCCACGCCCTTGGGCCTGTGACTCCTCCAGCCTTCTCCCAGCTATTGGAAGACATCCCTTAAGAACTGCATTGTTGTAGGGATCTGGTGGCTCCCGCCTGTCATCCTAGCTACTCAGGAGGCTGAGATCTGAGGATCGTGGTTCAAAGCCAGCCCAGGCAGAAAAATCCCTGTTAAATAGACTCTTATCTCCAGTAACCACTCAAAAACAGCGCTAGCCTTGAGCACAAATAGGCTCAGGCAGGGACAGTGCCTAGGTCCTGAGTTCAAGCCCCACAACTGACAACAATAACAACTAGAACTGTTTTGTTGTTAATAAATCAAACCAGAAGCTTCCACAGAGGTGGGGAGACGGAGGCCCTGCAGAGACCCCAGAGCTTCCCTGGTTGACTGCTCAGCTGTTTGTTCTCTGTTGGGCTCAGTTTATCTTTTACATCTTGTCCAGCCAGTGACTGGCTCAATGTCTCCTGCTACCCCAAAGGATGGTGGGGTGTTGCAGGAGCTGGCGGGCTTCCTCCCAAGGCTTGGGCCATGGGAACCTGGGCTGCTTTTGGCACTGCCCTTTCTCTAGGACACAGCCACTGGGCCGGGCCTGGCTCAGACGTTGGTATGGGAGGGAAGGAGCCAGGTTTCTGGTGCAATCCCGTGTGTGTGTGTGTGTGTGTGTGTGTGTGTGTGTTTCTGTGTCTTTTTTGTTTTGAGGCGGGGGGGTCCTACCAGGGATGGTAGACATGCATTACAGCACCCAGCTATTGGTTGAGATGGGGGTGGAGGTCTCAGGAACTCTTTACCTAAGTTGGCCTTGAGCCTCTATCCTCCTGACCTCAGCCTCTTGAGTAGCTGAGATTGCAAGCATGCTCCAGCACACTCAACTAGCCCTCTGTTTGGATAGCGAGAGGTTCAGGCTCTGCAGAGTCAGGTCACTACCCACTGCTCTTGACCTTCTCTAGACCCTTCCAGTCTGTTCCACAGGTGGTTTGAGCAGCAGCAGCCAGCCACTCTCTTGAGTCCCTTCATGGGGGGAGGGGGTGGCTTGTGCCAGCTGAGGAACAGCAGTTCCGATCCTCCATGTGGGGGCTATTGCGGTGTGCTTCTGGCCTGGCCCCTGGCCCCAGACACCCGGCTTGCACACCCCAGAGTCCCTGTCCTTCCAGGAAGGCGAGAACAACGACAAGTTCTTCACCCACCCCAAGAACGCCAAGGCGCTGGCGGCCTACCTCTTTGCACACAACCACCTCTTCTACCTGATGGAGCTGCTCACCGCCCTGCTCCTGCTGCTGCTGTCACTGTGCGAGGCCCCCGCCGTCCCCGCGCTCCGGCTCGGCATTTACGTGAGTGTCCGGGAGCGCCATGGCCCTCCGTGCTGGTGGGGCGGGGGGCAGGGAGGGCTCAGTGGGGGAATATTCTAGAAGGCAGAGCCCTGCAAATAGACTCCAGACAAAGCCTGGGGATTCACCCAGGCTGTCTTCTCTGGGACAGAGTCCGCACCTGGCTCGGGTACGGTCCAGGCTGCCTGTTCCCTCTTCACAAGGTGGCTTTGTGGCCCGCTGTGCCTCAGAAGCCAGATGTTCACTGGACCCCGATGGTTTTTTCCATTCATTTCTTGTTTGCAAGCCTTTGTTCCCATCCGCTTCATCTTTTATGGGTAACTTGTATGCAGTCCTTCCTGGAGTAAGTCTACATTTACAGTTTCATCTTTCTGTCTTTGTGCACACCTCGGCTCCCTCCCTGTGTCTGTTCCTTGAATGTCAAGTTTATACTTAGCTATCTGGGACGAGCTCCATCTTCCAGGCTGTGGTTGGCAGCCAGGGTTTTGTCGCTGTGGTGGGAGGCGGCCTTGGATGGCTTCGAGAAGACCCATGCCCACCTTTCCGTACAGGTCCACGCCACGCTGGAGCTGTTCGCCCTCATGGTGGTGGTGTTTGAACTCTGCATGAAGCTGCGGTGGCTGGGCCCGCACTCCTTCATCCGGCACAAGCGGACCATGGTCAAGGTGACGCGTGCGCAGTGATGCATGCGGTGACACAGGCTTGTGTCTCTCCATCTCCGTATTGGAGTCCGTGTCTTTGCTCATGTGGGAGCCCCCGTGTCACTGGGGTCCCTTCTAGCTCTGTTTGGGTCTCTGGCACCGTCACCTGAGGGAGGTTTCTTGCCTTTCCTGTGTCACAGCCAGCCAGGCACAAGAGAAGGGTGTGTGTGTGTCAGGCCTGGAGAGAGGGGCTCAGATCTCATGCTTTGCACCTGCAAGTGCCACTGGCGTGTGCAGATCTGGTCCTCTGCACAGCAGAGGGCTGTGAGGAGCATGTCCAGCAGTGCCCAGCTGTGTGACAAGCCCGCTCTCTGTGTAGGAGCGGGTCCCCAGGTTGGCGGAGCTGGAGATGGCCAGGATCTCCACAGCGTCCTGGTGCGGGTGGAGCTCTGGCAGCGTGGGTGCAGACGGGCCGGGCAGTGGCCTCGCTCTAGCCCGCAATTGCCCATCCTTCTCCTGAGAGAGATGGAAAGAGGGGAGCTCTGGAGAGCGTGTCAGGGGGCTGACCGCGCTGCCCCTGCCGCACCCAGACCTCCGTGCTGGTGGTGCAGTTTATCGAGGCCATCGTGGTGTTGGTACGGCAGACGTCCCACGTGCGGGTGACCCGTGCCCTGCGCTGCATTTTCCTGGTGGACTGTCGGTACTGCGGCGGCGTCCGGCGGTGAGGCCCGGGACGTGGGGGGCGGGGCGGGGGCTGCGGCAGGCCAGCCCTGCACACACACACGCTTCCCACCACCACACGCCCCACCAGGCAGGTGGGGAGAGGCCCCCCCTCCCCCCGTCAGCTGGTCTGTCTCCCCTCAGCAACCTGCGGCAGATCTTCCAGTCCCTGCCGCCCTTCGTGGACATCCTGCTCCTGCTGCTCTTCTTCATGCTCATCTTCGCCATCCTGGGTGAGTGCTCTGTGCTCCTGGGCACGGCGGGGTTGTATGTAGTCTTGGATGCCACATCTGGTGGCCTCCCCTCCCCTTCCTGGAGCCTCACAGCCTCTTGTGGTAGACCAGATGGCCCTGAGGAGCCTGTTTTTCTGAGACAGGCTCTCGCTATTTAATTGCCCGGGCTAGCCTTCACCTCCTGCATGCTGAGACGGCCGGCGTGCACCTCCACACCAGCCACCATTCTTGATCGAATCACTCAGGGACCCCTTTGGATTTGCCCCCCAAGCCAGACCACAGACCAGACTCCAGATCCACTCCCCCGACGTGAACTTTGAGCCAACATTTTGAAATGAGACTTTATGTAAAAATACAGATTTTTAACAAACAGATCTTTTTAACAAGGCTTTTTTTTAACACACAGCTCTGGGTGCTTTTGCGCGTGGCAGCAGGCACACAGGCCGAGCAGCTCTCATTTCTTCTAGATGGCGCGAGTTTTCTTTGATTCTGCAGTCCCCTGTTGCCTCCCTCAGCTGCACACACACACACACACACACACACACACACACACACACTCATTAGTCCAGTCTGCTGGACACCTGGCATTGGCACCTGTGCCCTAACCAGCTTTTGTTTTGTTTGGCTACCACTTTCCAGGTTTCTACTTGTTCTCTCCTAATCCTTCAGACCCAGTAAGTAACGAACATCTGCCTCCCTTCGCCGGTGGGAGGTGCTACCCTCAAGGCAAGGTGCCCGGCTGCATTAGGGATGACCGGCCGACCACATTAGGAAGATGTGTTCCGCCCTGCCTCCTGAGCCATTCTTTTCCTGGAGAGCCGAGGGGCTCCCCTTTCCTGGGAGAAACGTTTCCAGGACCCGGGCTTGGCACATCCCAGCCTTCTGGCAGAGTCGAGCATGTGACTCCCTAGGAAACATGTGCCCCAAAGTCGGCCAGTCTGGGAGCTTGGGAAGGCACAGGCCTGCACTCCCACGCCACCGCTGCTCTGCGGCCCTTAGGGAGGAGGCAGGGCAGGATGGGCGTGGAGGGGGGGGCAGGCCCTGAGCCTCACCGCTCCTTCCTCCCCTTCCCCCCCACCCTCCGCCCCACAGTACTTCAGCACTCTGGAGAATAGCATCGTCAGCCTGTTTGTCCTTCTCACCACGGCCAAGTAAGTCTGGTTCCCCCTCCCATCTCCCCCTAAAGTGATGGGGGCGGGGAGGTGATTGTCCTTCACAAGGCCTTGGGGAAAACGGGGGCAGCCATGCAGACAGGTGGTGACCTTCTGCCATACAGCTTCCCCGACGTCATGATGCCCTCCTACTCCCGGAACCCCTGGTCCTGTGTCTTCTTCATCGTGTACCTCTCCATCGAGCTCTACTTCATCATGAACCTGGTGCGTGGCTGCCTCGGCCCCCCGGCCTTCGGGCAGAGCATCGGGGCGGGGAGTCGGGGCCCATCCAGGGTCAGGGCTGGTGTTCTGGGGTCTGTCCTGGGAGGACCGCAGGGCCTGCACTGGTCACGGCGGCCAGCATACAGTGCCACTGCCTATAGTGCTGGAGTTGGGGCTCAGGCTGCCCTAGGAGCTTCCACTGATGATGCCTCTGCCCGACAAGCGCACAGCGGCCTAACGCTGCTCCCTGGAGCTCTTGCTGCAATTCTAAGTGGATCGATGACAAAACTGGGTCAGACTGACAGACTGACAGACTGATCTGCATGGTGCAGGCTAGCCTGGGAGAAAGCCTGAGCTGGGTCTCAGCACCGCCTCCATGTGTCGAGAACACGGGGTGCATTTATGTCAGCCCTGTTAGTCATGCATGATCAGAACACTGGACACAGCACACATCTGCCCAACAGGACAGAAAGCCCCTTTGCACACTGGGTTTTTTGGTGAGGTCTGGGATACCAGGTTGCCACCAGGAGCCCCTCTCATCAGCAGATAGGGCCAGAGCCCCAACCACTTCACACCCACAGTTAACCTAAGAGGAGCTTTCCAGAGAGTCTTGGAGGTTTTGCTGTTTTGGTAGTGCTGGGAGTGATGAGCCCCAAGGCTTTGCTCATATTAGCCAGGCCGGCCCAGGGCCTACCCCTGAGCCACCGTGTCCCCTCATGCTCATTTATGAGCTTCTGACACTCCCTCATCCTGGCCACCAATCAAATCAGCCCAGGATAAAAACAGAAAATAAAGCCCCATCCTAGTGGTTCACACTGGTAATCCTAGCTACTACCCTGGAGGCTGAAATTGGAGGATCACAGTTTGAAGCCAGCCCAGGCAACAAAATCCGGGAGACTGTTTTCCACAATTGACCAACAAAAATCAGAAGTGGAGCTGCGGCTCAAATGGTAGAGCACCAGCCTTGAGTGGAAAAGCTCAGGGACAGCAATCAGGCCCTGAGTTCCAGCCTACTGTGGCTCATGTCTGTGGTAGGGACAGACTACAGCATGACCTCCTCAGCGGATGCCCTCCGCCTGCCATCAACCCACAGAGCAAGCACTTAATCCCCAAGACTGTCCCCTACTTCAGTCCCAGGACTCTGGTGGCATTTCCTCTGGTGGCTGCTGGCTGTTGGTGCCGGCATGGTGACTGTGGCCTGTAATCCTAGCTACTTGGGAGGTTGAGATTGGCCAGCCTGGGCAGAAAAGTTCATGGGACTCCATCTCAACCGATAAATGCTGGATGTGGCAGTAAGTACTTGTCATCTCAGCCATATAGAAAACATAAATAGGAGGATCATGATCCAGTCCCACCCAGGCAAAAAGCAAGACCCTTTAAAAAATAAAAACTGAAGTAAAAAGGGCTAGAGACCTGATTGAAGTGGTAATGCACCTGCCTAGCAAGCACAAGGCCCTAAGTTCAAATCCCAATACTACCAAAGAGAAAAAAAAACCCATATTTGTTTACCTTTGCTCTAATAGGAAACTAGAGGATTCATTTAAAGAGGTCGAAAGAATTACAGAATTCTTCTCAGAACATTTTTGAAAGAGAAAAGTGTTTCTAAAAAGATTCCTTCAAATTCCTTCTCATCTTCCCTCACCCTGATCATGCAGAACATGGTGTATGGACCGCGTACACAAGTGCTGGTCCTGGGTCTTGAACTCAGAGCCTAGGTGCTAGCCTGAGCTTTTTTTTTGGCTGAAGGCTGACACTCTACCACTTGAGCCACAGCTCCACGTCTGTTTTTTTGGTGATTAACTCATGGATTTTCCTGCCTAGGCTTGCTTTGAACCATGATCCTCAGATCTCAGCCTTCCTGAGTAGCTAGGATTATAGGCGTGAGCCGCGGGTGCCTGGCTGATTGTGTCTTTAAGAAGCTGGTGTTGCTCTTAGGAGGTTCCAAATATGACTTCCTTCTCATCCTTCTCCTCCTGCTCCTTCTCTTTCTGGGACCACACATGTGACACGAGGAACAGAGCCCTGGGGAGGGGAGGGTCACAGGGCCTCCTGGCCAGCCAATTGAGAATGCATGTGGCAAGAAGAATCTAGACGCATCTGGTAACAAGGTCTTTAAGTATCTCCTTGGGCCTCTATAGAGTGGTAGGACAGAAGCCCTACCTGGGGGCAGATGACAGCCTCTGCCACTAGAGGGCACCACACAGGGCAGTCAGGCCTCCGTGCTTTCTCCAGCTCCTGGCTGTGGTGTTTGACACCTTCAACGACATTGAGAAGCGCAAGTTCAAGTCTTTGCTGCTGCATAAGCGAACTGCCATCCAGCACGCCTACCGCCTGCTCGTCAGCCGGCGGGTAAGGAGGCGCAGCCCCACTGTCGCTGCCCACAGCAGCTCCTGAGCACCCTATAGTCCCGCGGGAGCCCTGGGAGCCGTGCCAGGCCTGGGGTGGCTGCCAGGGGAGGGGCGGTGGGGTCCTGGGTTTTCCTGGGTCCCACCTGTCATGTTTGTTGTTCCCACCCCCTCTGCCCCAGAGGCCTGCCGGCATCTCGTACAGGCAGTTCGAAGGCCTGATGCGTTTCTACAGACCCCGGATGAGTGCCAGGGAGCGTTTCCTCACCTTCAAGGCCCTGAGCCAGAGCAACACCCCGCTGCTCAGGTAAGGGTGCTGGGGGGGGGGCAGGTCTGGCGGTGGGACGGCTGCAGAGAAGCCGGCCAGAGCCTCTAGTTGCCCCCAGCAGGCTGCTTGCACACGCTGACTCTGTTCATCAGGAGTCTGTGAGCCACAGAAGCCTCGCTCCAGCCTGTTTCGTCTGGACCAGCTCTGCTGCTCCCCCTCAAGTCCCAGATTTTGGGGGTTTGGGATCGTCCTGTGTGAGCCAGAGGAGACAGAGGGAGAACACAGCACACCTGCACGCTCACACGCAGCTCGCAGGACTGAACCTAAAGTCTCAGGGACGGTACTGGCCTCCACACTGCGGAGACCAGGAAGGGGCGTCCCTCGCGGGCAGCTGAGACCCAGCGAGCTCCGTGCGGGGCCCAGCGAGGCCTGGCCTCTGTCCATGCCCCTCCAGGGACTGCCCACAGTCCGAGTGGACCGAGCAGAGTGAAAAACCTTAGTCCTCAGGGACAGAGGACATCGGGACTCTGAAGGCGTTGCCCTGGGCACAGAGAGCTGTCCCCTCTCCTCTCGAGATGCACGGCGGCAGGCAGGCAGGCAGGCGAGGTGCTGCTTGGGGCTGCGGGGTCAATGTCTGTCTTTTCCTTTTGCTTGCCACAGCCTCAAAGACTTCTATGACATCTACGAAGTTGCTGCCCTGAAGTGGAGGGTGAGTTTCTGTGGGAGCGGAGGCCGGGGTGGGGGAGGCGGTATTCCCCAAAACCCAGCGCCGTTGTCAGCGGGGCTCAGACCCTTCAGGACAGCCAGGCCAGGCCCCCGCGTCCACCCTCACCCAGGCCCAGGGTTTCAGCCAGGCTCCTCGCATCTCTGTGGCTGAGGCAGGGGACTGAATGCCCCACGGCTCCCCTGGGAGACAGGGGGACAAAAACCCCGCCTAGAGTGACTACAGGGTGTGAGCGGGCGGGGCAGATGCAGGCCACTGACCGGCTGCACTGACCCCTGAGTGTCCACGCCATTCCCTGGCACAGTGGAGCAGGTGGGGAAGGAGGCCGGCACCCAGCCCGGCCTAGTCCTGGGCTCTGGCCTGACCTCTGACCTCCCGGGACCTGTTGTTGCCTTACAGGCAAAGAGAAACAGAGAGCACTGGTTCGATGAGCTTCCCAGAACAGCCTTCCTCATCTTCAAAGGTGAGCTCAGCTGCCATGGAGCGGGAGAGGACCTGGGGTCTGTTCACTGCGGGGGGGGGGGGGGAGGATGTGACTGTCTGAGCAGAGAAAGTGGCAGGACTTGGACTAGGGAAGGACTCTAATCAGTCATTTAGAAATCCAGCGTCTGAACCAGCATGGTGGCACACTGCGATAATCCCAGTCCTCAAGAGGCAGCCCTTCCCCAAGACAAAACCCTTAAGTCATGTGTCCATGCTTCTTACTTAACAGGCATCTACCCTTAGTTTGTACCAGCTCTGAAGGACCATGGGGGGCGGGGTGATGGTGGGGAGGACTATGTTTGGCCCTCTGGAAATTTCTTCAAGCATGGCCTACAGCCATTCTGAAAACGCACAGAGCGTATGATCTGTGTGTGGTTGACCCAGCCAGGCTATGGGCAGAGGAGTTTTCCTTGTACTAAAATGCCAGGCTGTGCCCAGAGCAGCTGTGATGGACGGGCACTGCCTGGAGCCTGGGCAGCCGTGAGATGTGGCTCTCGGGGCCGCAGGACCTGGTCGCTCACGTGGGATCATTCGCCTGAGTATGAAGTTTCCAGTGTAACCTCTTTTCCCTTCACATAGGAATTAACATCCTGGTGAAATCCCCGGCCTTCCAGCACTTCATGTGTAAGTGTGATGCGCCACAGCCCCAGGCCCCTTTCCTCCCGAGTCCTTTGTGGTTTTAGTGAGTAGGGGGGTGAGAGAGATTCGTCCTGTGGGTTGTGGTGTTAGCTCTGGGTCGGCTGAGTGAGTGCTTAGCACACGCCAGACCTTCAGCTCTGTCCTAGAGACTCAAAGAAAGACGGGAAGGAGGGAAGGGAGAAACCAAAAGAAGGAGGAGGGCTGGAGGGGGGATGATGATCCAAGTGTTTGGAAAGTCTGGACCCACACATGCAATGTTACTACTATTGGGTCTCTTCAGTCTTGTTAGTCTAGAAGTTTCTCTTCTATCTTCCCCACCCTCCCTTAACAATGAATTGAGAAAGCATGACGAGTTCTTTCTAGTGTCCAGAGCCTCCTGGAAAAGAACTGGGGCTGCAGCCGTGGCCTGTAGACTGCCCGGCCTGCCCCTTTCTCCCATGCTCTCTCTCTTTCAGACGTGGTGGTGGCGATGAATGGGGTGTGGGTCCTGGTGGAGACCTTCATGCTGAAAGGTGAGCGCAGCCCGCACCCCTGTGCCCCACACCCCTGTCCCTTGCATGGCGCCCTGGGCTTGTCTCCAGCCTACTTTTCTCTTTCAGGTGGAAACTTCTTCCCCAAGCACGTGCCCTGGAGTTCCCTGGTCTTCCTTACCAGTGAGTGTCTGGGCCGCGTGCTGCCGCGCTGGCTGGGAGAGTTTAGATGGGCGTCCGTGTCCCACGGCCCCTCTCGAAAGGGAATGAGCAGGAAGTGGCCTCTCCCCCCCCCGCTGGCCCGGCTGCCCTCGCTCCACGCAGGGGGAGGGCGCAGGTCAGCTGCTGACTGCCACCTCCTTGTCCACAGTCTACGGGGTGGAGCTGTTCCTGAAAGTGGCCGGCCTGGGCCCTGTGGAGTACCTGTCCTCCGGATGGAACCTGTAAGTGGACCCCAGGGCAGGACTGACCAGGGCTGACCAGGAGCAGGGCAGGGGTGGGGAGGGGCAGGGGTCTAGCCTGAAGGTCGCTGACCACCATGGCCTTCCCTCCCCCGCCAGGTTTGACTTCTCAGTCACGGCTCTCGCCTTCCTGGGGCTGCTGGCCCTGGCGCTCAACATGGAGCCTTTCTACTTCATCGTGGTCCTGCGGCCCCTCCAGCTGCTGAGGTGACCGGGAGACCCATGAGCAGGAGCCACAGACGTGGCAGCTCTGCAGGGACACGGGTGGGGCTGGGTCTCCCGTGGGTGTGCAGGCTGCGGGGACCTTCTTGCACACCGGCATCCGGGGCCTCTGCCTGGCTGAGTAGCTAAGCTTAGGAGCACCGGCTTCTGCCCACAGCGGGGCCGCGGGTCCAAGCGCTGGCCTACAGGCAGGTCATAGGTCAGCGCCTCGGCCCCTTGTGTTCCCCAGCATGGCCTCTGGTCCGAGAAGCCACCATGTGGGTCTCCGCACGCTCTCCCAGACCAGCAGTGGCTGGCAGAGCCCTGCTCTGTCCACAGCCTCGTCCTGACTCGGGTCTGGGGGTTCCCAAGGCCTTGGGTGCCAGGCTTTCCCCCTAACGAGAGGGTTATAGGCCACCTGTGTCCCCACCTTACCCTCTCCTTGGAGAATGAGGTTGGGGGGCGGGGGTGGGTACGGGTGGAGGCCATCCTGTGCCCATCTGGAGGGGGGACTCTGGGCTGGTGGCCCTGGGCCGGGTCCCTCGTTCCTCCACGCTGCCGCCTCCTTCTGCCGAATATCTCGGGTGTCTTCCCTCCCCCTGCCTTGCCACTCCGCAGCGAGGCCTTGCTCCCGGGGAGTCGCCTGCTTCGGGTGCGAACCACTCTCTGTGCGCCTCTGTGAGGGGTGCTACAGAACCCCGTCTCCCCCCTGGGGGGACCCTGCCCCGCATCCTGGGGCTGCGGGAGAGGTGAGGGAAACCGGCCCAGGCGGACGAGGGCCCCCCCCCCAGCCACGTCCGTCATGCGAGGTGTGGACGAGGCTCCCGCGCATCTGAAAGCAGGGGTGCAGGCTGTGGTGGCATCAGCGCGCGACTCTTGTTTCTTGGGGTTCAGGTTGTTTAAGCTGAAGAAGCGTTACCGAAACGTGCTGGACACCATGTTTGAGCTGCTGCCACGGATGGCCAGGTACTGTCCACCGTCCGACGGTCCACAGGTCCTGGTAGCTCAAGGCCTGCACCCATAGGGGCCGGATGGGGCGGTAGCCAGGGTGAAGGACTGGATCTGGGGTTCAGTGGCTTCCAGGACTGGATCGGGCCCCACAGATGCCACTTCTCCATGGCCTCGCAGGGAGGGCAGGTGGCGGTCAGCTCACTGACCCCTGGAGGAAGGGGTCACCGCAGGTGCCTTTACAGGGAAGAGGCAGGTCTGGTCCAGGGGCATCTGTTCCTAGTGGAGCCATGAGGCCCCTTACCAGTGGTCACCTGTCAAGGGCCGGGGGCAAGCCTGTCCCACGGGGCCTGAGGCCAGGGCCGCAGCCGCCCGCCCGGACACCTCCCCCTGACGCTGACCTTCCCCCAGCCTCGGCCTCACACTGCTCACCTTCTACTACTCCTTCGCCATCGTGGGCATGGAATTCTTCTGCGACCTCCTCTACCCCAACTGCTGCAAGTGAGTGGCCAGCGTGGGCCCTGGGCTCGCCCCCCTCCATCTCAGCCTCCGCGTGCCCCGGGCTGGCTCCCCTCCATCTCAGCCTCCGCGTGCCCCAGGCTCCCGGGCTTTGCTGTCTGCCTCAACACATGCAGAGCCAGGGCTCGGACAGCCTCCAAGGAGGACATCTGAGTCCCAGAATGGTCCAGGCCTCCACTGGCCACCCCCGTCCCCAAACCTGAGTATCCTGAATCCCATAGCTCCCACCCACCGCTATCCAGAAGGCAGGACCTGCAAGCTTCGCTGGACAGCTTCAAAGGGTTAGACAGACAGACGACAGTCACTTGGCAGGAGGGTCACGGAGCTCTACGATAGAGCTCCCAGGTCACACGGAAAGACCCCCATCTCAAAAAGAGAAGGGTGGAAGCCGGGTGCTGGTGGCTCACTCCTGTAATCCTAACCACTCAAGAGGCTGCGATCTGAGGATGATGGTTTGAAGCCAGCCTAGGCAGGAAAGTTCCCATGAGACTCTTTAACCAACCGGAAACTGGAAGTAGAGCTATGGCTCAAAGTGGTAGGGAGGTAGCCTTGAGCAGAAGAGCTCAGGGAGAGTGCCCAGGCCCTGAGTTCAAGCCCATGCCCAACCAAAAAAAAAAAAAAAAAGTAGGCGGAGAGAGGGGTGGGATAGGAGAATGGCAAACAAAATGTCCTCCAAAATCAGGGTTGCCTGGTCAAACCTGGATGCACCGGGCAAAGTGGGAGAAGCGGAGCCGAGCGTGAGGCCACCCCCGGGAGCTACCCCCTGCCCCCTCCCGCCTCCTCCCTCCACGGTGGGAAGTGAGAAGAGGGAAGCCTTGTCAGCTACAGAGAGGTGCTAGGTGACGGGGAGGGGAGTAGGGAGCCCAGGGCCCCCCTGGAACAGGACAGAGCCAAGAGCAGGAAGACAGCCAGGATGGACAGCTCCCTTGCTAGGCCCTGGCCTGCCCGCCCACCGTCTGCGCAGCAGCAGCAGCATCGCCTGACCCTTCTCCACGCCCTCATCTCATCCGCAGCACCAGTACAGTGGCGGACGCCTACCGCTGGCTCAACCACACGGTGGGCAACAGGACCGTGGTGGAGGAGGGCTACTACTATCTCAACAACTTCGACAACATCCTCAGCAGTTTTGGTGCGTGGAGGGCTGTGGCGAGGGCGGGCCTGGCGGTGCTGCTTGGGCCCTGCAGGTCTTGGGGGCAGGGGGGGTGGTCCACCAGGGTGTCAACAGCGGGGATGTGTGAGACCCCTGTCTCCAGCGGGAGTCCAGGCTGCCAGGCCCTTTGCCTGGCACTTTTCTAACCAGAGCTGGAGGGGTACAGCGCCTAGCCATGCCAGGGCTGCCCCCAGGCCCGCGTGCCGTCTGGTTCTGTGGTTAAACCTATGGTGATTTAAACCCAAGAAGAAGGGGCACTTCAAAGCCAGGTGTGCATACTGTCTGGGAGCGCTTTTCCAGGCTGCTGAGGCACCGGCCATTGCATGGGACTCCCCGTGAAGTGGCTTGCAGGCAATGGAGGGGCCTCTCGTCTGGGCCTGCAGGAGCGGGGCTGACCGGGGCTCTCTCCCTCTGCAGTGACGTTGTTTGAGCTCACGGTGGTCAACAACTGGTACATCATCATGGTAAGTGTGTGTGTGTGTGTGTGTGTGTGTGTGTGTGGAGGGGGGGGCGTTGCTCTCCCCCTCCTCCCCCTCCTCCCCCAGCTCGGGTCTGCGGGGAAACCTCATCCCTGTACCTCTTGGCCATCTTCCTTCATCCTGGCGCCCCCGCCCCAGCAGGCTTTGCGGCTTTAACCCGTCCCCTGTAAGTTGGAGAGCAGCTGTTCAGATGAGGAGCAGTGGGCGAGCCTGTGGTGCCAGCCCCTGACAGACAGAGGGAGGAAGATCGGGGGGCTCAGGCCAGCTTGTGGGAGACCCTATCTAAAACACGAAGAGAGAGAGGACTGGGACCTTCCCGACAAACACGAGGCCCTGAGTTCAAACCCCAGCACGGAGAGAAGAGTGAAGATGCAGTTGGGGGGGGTACTTCAGGGAGGAGGCGGACGCCAGGGCAGCCTGGGCCACAGTGTGAGCCAGGCCCTGTCTCGAAACTAAAACAGAAAGGGACTGAGCATGGGGGCTCCCACCCGTAAACCCAGCTGAGGAGGGTTGAGACCAACCTGAACAGAACGAAAGGGCCAGCCATCGGGGCTGGGAAGGTGGCTCAGTGGTAGAGCGCTCGCCTTGCATGCCTGAGGCCCTGGGTTCGATTCCTCAGCACCACAGAAGCAAAAAGAAAAAAGCCGGAAGTGGCGCTGTGGCTCAAGTGGTAGAGCACTAGCCTTGAGCTGAAGAGCTGAGGGACAGCGCCCAGGCCCACAGTTCATGGCCCCCACGACCAGACCCAAAAAAAAAAAGGCCAGCCAGACCCCTGCTCAACCCATAAGCTGTGTGGTGGAATGCGTCTGTCGTCCCAGCAGCATGGGAAGATTGCAGTCCTGGCTGTCAGAAAATAACAAAAGCAAAAAGATCTGCAGGTGTGGCTCCAAGTGGTCGAGCCTAGTGAGTGCAAGGCCCCAAGTTCAAATCCCCAGCACCACCTAAAGAAAGAAAAATTGAGAACTTGGCAGAATGGGCATGGTAGCAAACCCCTGTCATCCCGGCTACTCGGGGAACTGAAGCTGAAGAATCGCCGAGCTGGGAGCAGGAGTCCAGCCCAGCCCCCACAGCAGCGCTCTACCCCTACAGGAGCCGTATGACAAGCATTGCTGGTTTTCTTTTCAAAGGAAAAAAAATTTTTTTTTGCCAGTTCTAGACTTGAACTCAGGGCCTGGGCGCTGTCCCTGAGCTGCTTTTGCTCAAGGCACTTGAGCTCTACCACTTGAGCCACGGGACCTCCTTTGGCTTTTTCTGTGTATGTGGTACTGAGGAATCGAACCCAGGGCTTCAAGCATGCTAGGCGAGCACTCTACCACCGAGCCACCTTCCCAGCCCTCTTTTCCAATTCTTAAACTCTCCTAAGTCCCTTGCGGCTTAAGACAAAGACCCAGCTGTGGAGGCCCAGGCTCCCTCGGCCATCTGGAGAGGGGCCAGGGGTCACGTTCAGTGGGGTGCGTGGTGCCGGTGCCGGCGCTGCCCCCCACGCATGCTCCCTGGCTCCCCGCCCCCACGCAGGAAGGTGTCACTTCGCAGACCTCGCACTGGAGCCGCCTCTACTTCATGACCTTTTACATCGTGACCATGGTAGGTCCGCCCAGCCACGCGCCCCGCACCCTTGTGGCCCGCCACACCTCTGACCCACGCCCTCCTTCCCTGCTGGCCAGGTGGTGATGACCATCATCGTGGCCTTCATCCTGGAGGCCTTTGTCTTCCGCATGAACTACAGCCGCAAGAACCAGGACTCGGAAGGTCTGTGCAGGGACTCCCTTGGCAGGCGTTGGCACCATTGACCCGCTGGCTCTCTCTCTCTCTCTTGCTGTCTGTATGGATGTCCAGCTGGCCATCTGGCTGCCAGCCGCTAGCGGTTGAGCTTGTCTGTCTGGCTTATCCGTCCCGATCTCTTCTTTGCCGTGATGGTCAAATGTTTAATAGCAGACCGATGCTTATGATCTCATTCTAAAGTCAGCCTGGCACATCACTGAAAGTGTGGAGGAGGCCTTGGGTGACTGCCCTGCAAACTGCCCTTCTCCCGCCCTCCCCGCACTGGACCCACAGCGCCGGGAATGGCCAACAGCTGCACAGGCCCTGTGTTAGGCTGACCAGATAGATGGATGGATGGATTGATAGATTGATTTTGTTTTTTGAGCCAGGGTTTCTCTTTTCTTGGCCTTGTACTCAGAAGCCTCCTGCCTTGACCCTCCACGTGCTATCTGACCATTTTCCTTTCGGTGGAAGGCGCCTCCCGGGTCCCCTCTGCTCTTCTGCCCTTCCGATGAGGGCAGGGAAGGGGCACAGAGCAGGGGCACACTGGGCCGGCGTGTGTTTGGGGAGGGTCCCTGGGCTCTGCGGCTGCCCGCCCCGTTACCCCTTGCAGATGACGGAGGCATCACCCTGGAGAGAGAGATCTCCAAGGAAGAGCTGCTTGCCGTCCTGGAGCTCTACCGCGAGGGTGGGGGGGCCTCCTCCGACATCTCCCAGCTGCTCGAGACCCTGGCGCAGATGGAGAAATACCAGGTGGGAGGGTGGGACACGGGAGCGGGCATTGGCCTTGTGTCCTCCTGCTCCTGTGGGTGACACTCGAAGGTGTGTGTGGGAGTTGTGGGGGGGAACCCAGGCTCTGGGGTGGCCGGACCTGGCAACGTGTCTAACCATCTCCACTCTCCAATAGCAAAATTCCCTGGTGTTTCTGGGACGGAGATCAAGGACCAAGAGTGACCTGAGCCTGAAGATGTACCAGGAGGAGATCCAGGTACCCATGGGCACAATGGGAGGGGTCCATGGTCCCCCGAGGCGGGTGCGGGGACACTGCTGCCCGTGTCTGGGTCTCTGGCGGACCCTTAACTTACTCAGGGCAACCTGGTTTGTTGTGAACATCTCCATCTCTTACCCTGAGCGGGGCCGCGGGGGCAGATGGGGGTCATCGGGGCGCAGGGAGGGTGGGCGGGGACCAGAGCGCTGCTCCCCCCCCTTCAGCCTGGACCTGCTGTCCTGTGCCTGGCATTCCTGGCCGGCAGGTGTGTGTCAGCCCGTGGGGGGTGGGGGCCCCTCCAGTGGGGGTGCTCCCGGCTCAGCCCTGCCCCGCTCTGTGCAGGAGTGGTATGAGGAACACGCCCGTGAGCAGGAGTCGCTCCAGCAGATCAGCAGCCAGGTCGCAGGCCCTGCCGCCCAGCAGCCCCCCATCAGCCGCCAGCGCTCCCAGACGGTCACCTAGACACCCCCCCCACTCCAGCCCGCCAAGCCATCTCTTCTATGCAATAACCCAATAGTGTTACGTTCCGCGGCGCACCGAAGATGTGTGCCCATGTGCCCACGCAGGCGCAGACTTACCTAGAAACAGAGCAGGCAGGGCTGCACGCCGCCACCGCCTTGCGGTCCTCTCCCTTGGCTTCCTCCACTCCAGCAGTCGGCCTGGGCCTGGGGGTCCATGGGGTGGATCCAGAAGCCCCCTCCTCAAGAATGGATGGGACCACCTCTGCCCCCCCTCCCCCTCCCCGTGCCTGGGGCTCAAGTCCCCACGCATCCCTCAAGTTCCACGGCCCGCATGGGTGTCTAGCCTGGCCCTCGGGGAAGAACCACTTAGATGAGAGAATCCGAGGCCCCAGGGCAGCCCTTTGGGGACAGAGGGGGTAGACACCCGCCATCAGGTCTCAGCCCGCAGTGCTGGGCTGCAGCTACTGGCGTGCCAGTCTGCGTCCTGCCTCCCGCTGCCCCCCAGGCCCTGGTGGCTGCCAAGTCCCCGGCCTGGGCCTCTGCGGAGGAAGCAGGCCGGAGGCCCAGGCCCAGCGGCTTCTGCAATGCGTTTCTCCACCATGTTTCTCTCCACTACGGCTTAACCTGTTCCAGCAGAGGGGTGTCTGGGGGACCCAGGTCCTGGGGAAGTGCGTGTTTGGTGCCAGCCTGGTGCTCATGGCACCCAGGATGGCCGCTCTTCCTGGATTTGGGGCTCAGGGGCCCAGCACACCCAGGGTCGGGGGTGGGGGTCTGTGCAAGAGAGGTCCAGGGAGGGTCTCAGCCACCTTCCCCAGCACCCCAGCAGTGCTGTGGTAGAGACGGTCCCCGGCTGCAGAGCAGGCTGCGGGTGGCAGCCAAAGGGGGTGTGGGTGGGGGTCAGAGCCATGGCATCTTCAGCCTTGCTGTCCTGATCACAGATCTGGGGATGTGCTGGGGTGGGGAGCTGGAGGGCACCCCAGCCAGCCTGGCTTTCCCCCTGGTTCCTGGGGCTGGCAGGCGGGGTGAGGGGGAGCCAGGGACAGCTGTAGAGGAGCGGGCAGAGCTGATCCATGGACCTGAGCCGTCCTCCACCCCAGGCCACACTGGCACAGACCCCCAGGGGGGTAGAGGGAGGAGACTCATCTCTGTAAAGCCTAGCCTTTGTCATTGAGAAGCACTAGTCCTCCAGGACTGGCAGGGGCGACGCTGCCCCATCACAGGAGCGTGGCCGGAGCCCGGGCCACAGCCTTCTCTGCAGAGAAGGAACAGTTTGCACAACCAGGTGCCTTTAGCCTTTGGGCATTGGAATGGGCATTGTGGAAGCAGGAGGAGGGGCAGCCGGTAACCCAGGGCTCGGGGCCTTGGACTGAGCATTCTGTGGCCCCAAGGGAAGGCAGGGCTGGGGCAGGAGGGTGCTGACCGGCCCACGCTTTCCCCAGAGCTGGGAGCAGGGTCCCCCAGGAAGTTAAGTGCGGAGGGCTCAGGACGGGACCTAGCTCAGGCCTCTGGCTCCACTGCGGCTCAGCGGCCCCCGGGGAAGACCACTGACGGCCCCACGCCACGGCCTGGGGCGGGGGGGCATAGATGCTCTGAGGGTCACCGCCAGGGCCCCCCCTTCCTCCTCGCTTCCCCTCCCCCACCCCAGCCTTACTCCACACAGGCAGACAATCATTTTGTACGGCTCAGATCACGGGAGCAGCGCCACGAGGTTTTGTACATTGTGATTTCTTACTCTAGAAACCCACTGGGTCCGATTTCTGGCGTATTAATAAAAGCGCTCTGCTTTGTAGGCATGGCTGCTGCCTCTTGACTTGGGGGTGGGGGCGCCCCCAGCCGTTCCTGCCTACCCTACCCCTGGCCCCACCAGGCTTTGCCAAGAAGCCCTGCCGGCGGCCAGCCAGCACTCGGCTCAGGTACACAAGAGCCAGCGGTGGTGCATGCCGCATCCCGGGTACTTGAAGCACTGCATCTTCTTTTATTTGCCGGGGTTGGAGGACAGTCGAACCCCTTGACTGCAGAAGGCAAACACACTGCTTCTTTAAACATCGAGGCCCGGCCATCCACCCTGGGAAGGCCCTGGGGCCTCTCCTTTCCCAGGTAGGCTCTGCTGTGCACAGGTCCAGAGGGCCGGGTCCGCAGCCGCTGTCCATGGTGGCGGCCATTCCCGAGGCAGGGGCGCAGCTGAGTGTTTTGGACACCCGGGGTTCAATAACAGGTTGCCATTCATTCCACCTCCATCTTGGGTTTCTTAACGTGGCCACTGGGACACTCAATATGGGACAGCTCAGTGGCTCACATCAGCCCTTTGCCCAGCGAGGAGGGCCGGGCAGGGCTGCCCTGGGGTGCCGAGGGCTCTGACATCACATCCCCGGCAGAGCCAGCCTCCAGGGCCCCGGCTGCCAGGGCTCAGCCGAGGTACACAGTCACCCCATCTAGCTACCCCAGGAGTCTGTGCCCCTGCACACCTCCAGGCAGCATCGGTCACATGCCCTTCAGATGAATCACCCCGAACTCGGTGAGGAGAGCCACGACCAGGAAGCTGCTGTAGAACAGGAGCAGGCAGCAGCCGTAGCCCTTGCTGAGCTGGAAGCATTGCAGCGGGACGGAGACCAGGGAGAGGACGAGGCTGAGCCCCAGGGCGCCGGCCAGCACCCACACCAGCAGTCCGTCCGGCTCCAGCTGCAGGGAAAGGGAGAGGCTGGCTTGCTGCAGTCCACCGCTGCCCACCGGGCGGGGCCAGAGGGGACCCCGGGCCCCACCTTGCAGTTACCCAGGTGCAAGAGAACTTTCCACAGATGCCTGGCCCCGCCCTGCTGCCCGGCTGTTATACCCAGTCAGATGCAGCCAGGTGCAGCCAGCCGGATAGGTTTTAACTACCGAGCACTCATGAGCTTGCTAGAGCCTTCACCTCCCGTGGAGTACAGCAGAGATGGCAGTTAGATGGACAGAAGGACAAAGCAAGATTTGAACAGAGCTGGGTGAGCACTGAAAGGCCACAGTTCTGTTTGAATTTCCTTTAAAAAAACAAAACAAGGGCTGGGAAGTTGGCTCAGTGGTAGAGGGCTTGCCTTGCATGCCTGAGGCCCTGGGTTCGATTCCTCAGCACCACATAAGCAAAAAGAAAAAAAGCCGGAAGTGGCGCTGTGGCTCAAGTGGTAGA